AGTTGCCGCATAAGTGTGCACAAAAACAAAGTGAAGTATGAATCAGCGTGGTATGAAGAAATCTCATGGGCCCGCCCTCAAGTCCTCCAACGTCTCAAAAGTTCTTTCAGATAAACAGAGAGAAATTCCCACACATACCTTCAAAAATTATGTAGAATATCTTAAAATAGTGGGAGCTTCATATTATCTTTCAACAATGCATTTCTATATTCCTTTTACAAATAAGTGTCGTCGGCTTTCTGGCACAAAGCACGCAGTCTTTTGGGAAGAGAAAATGAGACGATAGGCTCCAAAATAGTCAAATAAATACTTGTTTCTTGCGGGAAATTGTGCCGCCCACTCACATGGCGATTTTCGTCATTTCACAATTATCAGACAGCAATTGTGACAAAAAAGAGAGACCAAAATATAATGGCCTTCAAGATTCTCGAAAAACTTTCACTATTTGAATAACCTTGCTGTTTCGACAGAGACCATGCAGTTGATCGTCCAGTAATAGCTGCATTAAGACAAGTGCAATATGAATGTTTGACGAGAACAGCTTAGGATTCCAATGAGCAGCTTTTAATTGTGGTGATCCGTATTAGGATGATTGAAGTCGGGTGGTTTCAATTAGTGAGATGAACCAAGCACTCAGACAAATGATTCTCAAAAACAATGAGATGCATCATCAGCATCATAACTACAGACGACAATTATGTGCCTCCTTGTGTTGTTTACCCACGTTTGGGCCCGACCCTTTGTCAAAATGCGGCTGATGGAGGTGATACATGTCTAGCAGCAACATTGAAATAAAACTCAGTTCCAAAAATTGCCTCATGCTACTTTGTCATTTGTCTAAGTTTCCCTGCAGCAATACTCGTGAAACAAAAATCCAGTGGTGATTGTGACTGAGTGGAAATTACATCGGCAGTAACTTGACTTTGTAGATTTTCATAAATATAAAACACAACACAAACAATCCTTAAGGTGATGGACTAACACAGAGCTGAAGTGTGCATGCAGGCATGCATGCAAGCGCGAGTGAGTGACAGAGAAGAATTAGACTGGCTCACACGTCATCTAATAAGGCGCGTCAGCGAATTCCCACAGCCAAAACAACGGATTGGTTCGCAGCCCGATTCCTCGGTAGCTGGATTCGCAAATGTAACACAACAAGGGTATGAAAGCAAGTCGCTTCTGCAATGGAAACAATGCAACTGAATGTTTACAGTGGCTACATTCCCAATACTGCAGCCGACATCTAAATGATAATGCTCATGTGTCTCTAATGTACACTTTTCCTACTGTCGTGGAGCCGAACAAAGAAAATCAGTTCAAAGAATGTCTGAATGCAACCCCACACCACTTGTACCAAACATTGCAAATGCATTTTTGAAGTAGTTTTAGAGTGGCAAGACTTCATTGGAAGGCTACACGCTAGCCTAGTATCATCAATAACAAGCAAATTCGATAAACAGGGACATGACAAATAAGTATGGAAAGACATGGCGAGATGTGGGGAAACATGATGGTCCGTAATGTCATTATTCAGTTACTATGAAACATGGTTACCTCATAATAAAGCCAGCCACTGACCTCTCTGTTCAATCAAGAAGCACCTGTCCTTCATGATGTTATTCTTCACCTATTTATACTGGTTCTTTAATGCAGCACTCATTTGTATTCATTGACTGGAATAAGAAATTAGAGTTTGTGCCACACATAAAAAAAAAAAAACTGAAAGAAAACATTTTTGATATGTAAATGCAAATAAAGGCACTCCATATTTAGCTTATTTTCCATAACATTGCAGTTGGACTATGACAAATGTAGATAACCGGTCAAATAAATCAAAACCAATTTAAATTGAGTTTTTGAGATAAACCAGCTAAACTCTGCCTATCAGACTATTTCTGCGCCTCCCCTGCCAACAAATGGACCCTCATGCATATGCAGAAAGGGACCAAGTGGCTCATCAGCAGGGATGTAGAGTGGAATGTGGCAGGCAGGGCAGAGCAGAAAAAAGGGGAAGAAATGTGGGGAGTGGGGGTCTGGCAGATAGGAACGAGACAGTGTCATGGTTGAGGAAGCATGGGGTCATTCTCTGCTCCAAAGACACGGAGGAAAATGTGAAAATGAAACGAACACGGAGGAAATAATGTGGAGTTCATGGCGCCAAGACAATTGAGCTGAGGACGAAAAAGGCTGATTGACGGACATCAAGAATCAGGTGAAATAATTCCTCTAAATGTCAGAATGACAGACAAAAGGGTTTTTGAATGGAAACCAATTGTTGACATGACGACAGGTAGGTACTGATACAAACTACTTTCATACTTGTTTTGTAACTTATGTATAACAACGACAACTAGTATACGATCTATTAGTGGGGACAGTGTCCACTGTATGTAGCAGTGGAAAAATAAGCACTTCACTTTGTCGAGTCTGAACTTCTCAACCAGGCAAATTGCCCCCAATCACTATGGCCGCTCTCACAGTGGTGAGACCATGAGAAGAACAAGAAATCAAATATTTAATATTGTCAATTTGTGCCCTCCAATGAAAGATAATGGAAGTAAATTGACCGTATCTATTTCTTTATCCTTGATAATATTGTCCATTATAAATACAGTTTTAAAAGTGGGAGAATGAATCAGCATCGATATTCAGTAACAGAATGAAATTGTAGCCCTCTGATTCATCATCAAATCGTGACGCAGTGAGAGACAATGATATTAAAGGAAGCAATTATAAAATAATAGGCCATTAGTCATGTTGACTTTACAAATAAAGGCACCAATCAAATACTATCCTAGAGTAGTGCAAGCCCTGGAAATTATTTTTCCAAGGTTTGCACACTGGAAGCCAGGTGGAGGAGTGGTGAGCACATCTGCCTCACAGTTCTGAGGTTGGGAATTGGACTCCAGGCTTCCTGTGTGGAGTTTGCATGTTCTCCCCGTGCCTGCGTGGGTTTTCTCCGGGTACTCCGGTTTCCTCCCACATTCCAAAAACATGCACGGAAAGTTCAGTGAAGACTCCAAGTTGTCTTTAGGTGTGAATGTGAGCGTGAATGATTGTTTGTCTATACAGCATGTGCTTTGTCTCCAGTGAGGACACGTGGCATAGAAAAGGAATGGATGGTCTTGCTAATCACCTAGTCAGTCATCAAAAAAATAGTACGGAAGCTACAGCACTTTAAGCCTCTACTTTGTCTTCTGTGTAGATCAAGTTGAAATTGCAGTCCGTGCATTTTGACCATTACTGAACCACATTTTCACAGCAATTAAACTGCACCATTTCTTGTTGCTAAGCCATGAATTGTGTACCTTTTGAAAAGACCTAACTGTTCCCTGACAGCACAAATGGTCTCTTTTCATACAGTTGTCTTTTTGTCAAAGTCATCGCTATAGCTCTTTCCTCTATGCGGGAGAGAATGTAACACAAAATGATACACAGGTAAGCACGTCTGCTTCTGCTGTATTTGGCGTGTTGAGCCATAAAACAAAAAGGTCACAGGTTCTCTCATCCTTTGTACCTTCTATCCCTTCCAATCCCACCCTCCACCCTCCACAGACAGTTTGCAGATAATGACTTCCAGTCACATAGGAAGAACATTTACATTTACACACACATTGTAGGTGAAAAGCCCCTCACTGAATGTAAGACTAATTCTCCTCCTCACATCACAGCTCCACTGAATGAGGATGGCCAGCTTTAATAAGGCCAAAGGTAGCTTACGCTTTGCTGAAATCTCCTGAGAATATGGCAGCGGGCTGTATCCTATTACAACTGAAGCATCGTGCATAATAAGGCAAGTCAATATTGTGCTGACACCAATGATTGCACAGCTGCTAAGACTGCAGAGGGTCTCTTTTAGAATTGAGTCTGGGAAAGTTAAAATAAAATAAAAAATATGTGCTGTTCATCAACTGGTTGAAGCTTCCAAATGACAGAATGTGATTGCCCAAAGCATAAAGTCAGGATGTTTTCAGCTATGCTTGTTTGTATAATTGTTGCCAGAGGAACTCAATATCTGCTTGACTGAGTTCCACGAAACAATAGAAGACTGCTTGTCAACCGGCCAATTGCTTAAAGCTGTTTATTGATATTTTTAGTTGAACTTAACCGTAAAACTCACTCACACTAAATGTTTTATATTGAACAAAACGCATAGTGTCTTCTTACAAAAAAATGCTAGTTTTAAAAGATATGATGCGAAATTACATTGAAGTGTTAATACAATTAGCATCGATTGCTTGGTACAGGAAACTGTAAATGGTTCAGGAATATTCGAGCAAAATGACAAAAAGATTATAGTATATAATTCTCACAAGCAAATATTCATCCTACTACGAAATGTGAATTATTGCATCTGACATGCTCGGTTAAATTTGTGTTTCTAAAGAATAGTGCAGTGCAATAAAACAAATGTTCATCACAAACAAAAGATGGAATCGCATTATCGAGTGTCAGTAGTTCATATTGTTGTGTACTCAAATGTAAGTACTTGGGCTCGGTTTGAAATCAGTCGTATCAGAGACCTATTAAAAACATGTTCCACAAAATGTTTTGGGGTTTTAAGGGCGCGACTGGATTATAGAATTTTAATTTATTGAAATACAGAATATTCATTTTCATTAAAGTTAAAATCTTGGTCAGGGAAGAAATTAAAACTTGTTAGTCAACGGACCACTGTAAAGGAAAAAGGAACCTCTCACTGTGCGTGATGTTATTAGGCTGTCGACTTAGCACTCTAACAACAAAAAGTCCAAGCGTGAAACTCCAACAACTTAGAATTCTTTGATGCTTGAAAGTGTTGACCAAAGTCACACAAACAAGTTATCTGAGACCATCCCCCTGCGTCTCTACAAGGTGGATGGGTGCCTGCTGGCACACATCGAGTACAGGGTTTATGAAGGACATAGTGAGACAAAGACACACGCGCACGCACACACACACACACACAATCTAATTACTTGTCCCTTTTGGTGAGATTTAGTGGCTCCCAAGAAACTCACATCTCTGTATCTGTTCCAGGATCTGTCCTTGGAGTGTTGGCCCACGGTAGTCAGCCGCTTGTCGTTGGTTGTGCCAGACAGTGCAGACTGTGTGCTCAGCAAGAGAGCCACAACAGGGAGCAGAGAGAAGAACATCTTCTGGAAACCAAAGCGTGGAAGAAAAGGACATAATAAGATGAGCCGTTGAGAGGCAGCATGGACGGAGTTGAGTCCAAGCATTCAAGTGGGATAACAACACTTTCGGCACGCACACGCACATGCACGCGCGCCAAATTGCTCGGCAGAAAATAAAAGCAGCAAGCGCTGCTTATTTTTGCAGGATTGATCGTCATCATATGTGTTCTCTCTTTTCAAATCGCATTACAAACAACGCAGAGTTGTGGTCTTGAAGCACTTAGCTCACCGAGTTTAAAAAGAACCGTTTCATTTTTTACTATTTAGTCGCTTTTTTTCTATCGGCTTGTCTCAGCCAAAAGTCGAACAATGCGCGACTCTTTACTGTCGTCTGTACATTGCCAACTTACCTGCATTCGTTCGGTGGCGTCACAATCCGAACCCTGGTCGAAGTAAGTCCAAGTTCCGACCACACTGGTGCAGGCAGGACACCTCTGTCTGACTGACACACTGCAGACAAACAAGGCGAGCGAACTTGCTGGAGGTTTCTCCTGTCACGAGACACCGCCCCCCTCTCTCTCTCTCTCTCTCTCTCTCTCTCTCTCTCTCTCTCTCTCTCTCTCTCTCTCTCTCTCTCTCTCTCTCTCTCCCTGCTACTTCGTACTCCACCTACAGGAGCTCTCGACGCTTCTTTCTCCCTTCGTCTCTCTGCTCTTTTCGAATCAAGCAGTGGCGTACAAAGTCATACGGTGGCTCAAATCAAGGGGCCCGCCTCACCCACACGTAACTACAGTAAATCCATTTCCACCTCCAATACTGCACTTCAATGCAATTTCGTTCAAAGGTGAGTCGGTAACCGAGGCCGCTTTTCCATGCTTATGAAATCAGTTTATCTGACATTGAAAGTGAAAAGTTGCATAGCCGTTTGCTCCCCCTGCCCAGTAAGTAATATTTATCCCCAAAGATTTTGGAAGCAACGGGACAAGGTCGCAGAGTTCCCTCAGAGTTAAGGTTGTATTTATATGGTGAAGCATGGCTGTATGAAATTTAGAGTTGAATCGAGAATGACCCCGAAATTCCAAACAGGAAAAAGAACTTCAATTGAAATTCGAATTGCAGGAAGTACAATTGAAAGGCCATCAATTAAAAAAAAAAAATTAAAATCATGATACAAAATTTACAATATGAAAGTTTAGAACATGACTACCATAACAATATTTTTGGAATGATTTTATTTACACAATATTTACAGTAAATATGAAAGTGTCATAATTGTTTGTTTTTTTAATTAACATTAACCCTTTTAGGGACAGCAGTAAGTACAGTTGATAGCTTATTATGTCATCAGGTTACACGGTGCATGAAAGGGTTAAAAGACATAGGAGGCAAGTGGCGCCGGGTCGCTGCTCCACAGTGAATTCAGAATTTTGTCGGGATCCAAACTACATATTGGGGCCCAATTTTGTTTAGAGCACAAGTCCAACGCAAAGTGCAGTTTAACAGTGCACATGGGTGGAGCTTTCTTTTGGTATTTTGCTTGACTTTTCGCTGGTTGAATTGGCGTAATGGGGTGTTTGCACCTTTGTGCGCCATCGTGGCATTGAAATAGTCTTTTCCAGGCCAATCTTGGCGACATCAAAATCAGGGCAGTTCGAGGTGCACTACGCACAAATAGAGCATGCTTCACTTGGAGGAAACCGAAATAGGCTCGCCGGGATCAGTGCATGACATTGGCAGGTAATGTAGTCGGCCGTGCATGTGACATGAGCAATTGGAGGCCGCCTTGCACCCCCGATCATGCATCAGTGTGACCCCACATCCTTCATCCCCCCCGCACTAGAGACAGGTGACAAGGAGGCTACTGAAATATTTCTAAGATGGTTATGATAATAATTCATTCAACAAACTGATTTCTTGGCAACACATTGGACGACTGGTTAGCACATTTCGCCTCAAGGTGCAGAGGTCCAGAGTTTGAATCCGGGCTTGGGGCTTCCTGTGTGGAGTTTGCGTGTTCTCCCGGAGCCTGCCGGGTTTTCCTTGGGTACTCCGATTTCCTCCCACATTCCAAAATTGCCCGAAGACAGCTGGCATAGGTTCCAGCACACTTGTGACCCTCGTGATGATAGGCAGTTAGGATAATGGATGGGTGGATGGATGGATTTGATTTCTACAATGATTTAGACTCGAGGGATTGTCCCGCTCTGGTGTCATACTTATGAATTTACTCAAATGATGAATGGCGTCGTATTTGTCTGCCTGTGCCTTGATCAAAAACACCAAAATCACATTGGACCACCTGCACAGTTTGACCTGGTTTTCGCACGTCTAAAATTGTGTCTACTTTTTGAAACCAAGTTGGCAGATGCGCTGAGGGGCAAGGATTGCTTGTGTCCTGCAGCTTGTTGAGATACATGCAGAGTACCGGTATGTTGAAAAGGAACTGCAAGGAGACCAGCACAGGTAAATGATATAAAGTTGGCTAGGGAGATCACAGATGTGTTATCTTGGATGGCTCTTTTTATCAACATGTGAATGATCATATAAGATCATTTTAACCCTTTCACGGACAGCGGTTACTACAGGGGACAGCTTATTATGTTCTCAGGTTACAGGGTGCATGAAAGGGTTAAATACAGGTACATGTGTACCTATTGACTGGATACCCTTTCATATTATGAACAGATGATGTGAATATTGTTTATAGGTCATACTGTACCCAAAAGGTGTTTCAGGTCAAAGTTTGCTCTGCTCATTAGGTTTTGTGAGGTGTTAAAATGAAACATATTTTTTCTATATAGTGTAACTACAGTCGTGCTGTGCAACCCATTCATGATTCTGAATTGAAAAAAAATGGTGTTTCTACAAATACATCTGCTGTTTGAATCAGCTTCTCCTTTTTCTTTAAAAACATTTTTTTAGACACACGAGTCCAAGTTATTAATGGCCTCTCTTTCTTCCACAGAGTATGCGTGGCATTGATTTTTCATCTGAAGGATGTTTTTCATGTTCCCCCCCAAGCACTGACAGGATTCGGTCGCTGTACTGTTCTGAATGTCCAAACACGGATGTCATATTAGTCATGCACATCCTACATTTTGTCCATCAGCTAATCATGTGAAACCTCTGAGTCGACTTTTAGCACCATGGACAGCGATGCAGGCGAGTATAACAGAAGACAAATGGAAAGTGAGCAATAGAACTAGGGCACTCATTATTGGGGTATGTGTTTAAATATTTAATCTGTGGCTCTCTGATTTAGCTCTCTGTAGGGAACTGGCAACACTTCATGCTCTCTCTTTGAGGCGCTTGGATTTTCGCTGAGCTGCGTCTGCTGACATGGGCATGATGTGGGAGCAGACGCTAGACATGGCGGCAACTTACTTCTGTGTGCTTAAGATGGAGTGTGTTTAATTGACCATTTTTTTGGGTGCATAGGGAGCGAGCAGTTGGGTCCAATGGCTTATCTCATTAAGTTTCACATCAAATGTTTTCTCCACTAAAAGCTGACATTACACTTCTCCTTTGCATTGCTCGCACTTTTGGAAAACATTTGGCAGTAATAATGTTGCTGCAAATGGTGAAAAGATGGGTTTCCTGTCCCTCTATTTTTGATTTGCTCTCACCCTGCTCTCTAAAACTTGTTATGCAAAGACAAAGGTTGTTTTTATTACATTTAGAAAAGAGCCAATGGTAAAATTGATGTGTTACCCAAAATATGTTTTGAACTTTTCATCCGTGGGGAACTAAAACCTTTTTTCTACATCTTATCGCATTATTCCATGGTATTGCCTGCCATGGATACAAGGTAAAAGTTCATAAAAAATTAAAAGTGTGACACAGTTGAGCAGACAGAAAATGCTGTCTACTTTCACATTAGCACATACTGAATATACACACACACACACACACACACACACACACACACACACACACACACACACACACACACATTCCTGTCAATTGATGGCTTCCAATAACAATTTGTTACAGGGGATTATATTGTTAAAGGAGTTCAGTTGTAAAACAGACAATCATCTTCGTAAACCGAATGCTCATTACTAGCAATGAGGAATATCGCAATGAGAATTCAAACCCAAGGTTGACTAAAGTATGTCGGATTCTGTCTTGAAATGTAGATCGAAGATTGATTCGACTCATTTCCAGGACATCTCTTGCATAATCATGTGTAAGCAATTTTAAATGTAAAGGAAGTAAGGGAAGTGAATGGTAAAATTATAATTCACACCTATAGGGTTACTGTGTACTATACACAATTGTAGTTGTCATCTGAGAAACAGCCTTGATCATTAGCCTTCTTGATGTTATCTGCCCGCCACAGTACAAATTTGTTACCACTGTCAACAGTAAATATTCACAAAGAACGCGGAGATTAAACCCACCAGCAGATCAGATAAACGTCAATGTTTACATAGTGGATATAGACTCTTATCAGTTCCTCATCAATGATTTCGATAATAGCAGCTAATTAAAAGAATCTCAATCATGTCAAGCTGATGTTCAGCCAGGTAACACATTTGAAACTACAACGAGTAGCGCGTTATGCTGGAACCAAACACCTTGCTATTTGTAAACCTTATGTGATGCATCACAGTCTTTTGAATATGATGGTGCCGTGACAGTTCTGAAATGTATCCAGCACTGAGGTGTAATGATGCAAGGAAATGGTGCAGACTCGGAGCAGACTGTGGGGCCCAAACATAACAATTTGTCATGTCACCTGACAAAACCCCAAGCCTATATTTTCCCTTTTGATCAGTGCAATATAGCTGATGAAAGTGGATGAGCTTGGATAAATCAAACATGTTTTTGGCTCATAAAATAAAATGTACAAACAGGCCACGAACCCATTAAAGTTGTGCCCCGATATAACAACAAGATTCCATATAAGGGCCTTCTGTGTAGGAGATACCAGAAATGCAGCTACAATTGTGGCAGCACTCTGATAACATCTTATGCTGTTGGCATTTTGTTGAGTATCGAAAGAGCCTTGAGTGTTTGCATAAATATCCCAGAAGAAAAGGCAGTAAAGCAGTGTAGTGTTCTAAACTCTAAATGGCGCAGGGAGACGATCTTCTGAGACCACCTACCTGTTTGCAGAGGGCACAATACAAATGTGCTGACGCCTCCCTGCAGGCTAGCTGTAAATATGTAGCATCCAAGGTCAACACAGTTTCTTCACAATGAGGAGATGTTCTCTCAGGAGTTTGTCTTTGGCGTCACTGACATACTGCAGTTATAGCTTCATGAAGATAAGACACGTAAATTAACATGCCTTGAAAGTTTTACGATATACGAGACGTAGCTTCGCCGATTTTTATTTATTTTTTTTTACTTTCACTTGCAAGTAAAAAATATGATATGTGCGCTGTATGATGGCAGTGAATTCAACTAGACTCACTTCACAGCAATCAGCAGTTCGGAAGATAGGGAGCAATTTTTCAAAAAAAGAGTTTGCAGTCAAACTAAACATAAAACAAAGAGAATCACACAGTGTGTATTTAAAACAACGGTATAACTTTGTCTC